CCCCAAAACCCCAAAACCCCAAAACCCCAAAACCCCGCAATCAACGAGTGACTTTGAATCAGAATTTTTATATTAAATTTAATCCCCTCTCTCAACAATGAACCCTGCTCGCAAAGAACGCAAGTTCAGAATCCTTGAAAAATCTCTTCACAGTAATCTCACTGTTCTAACCCACAGCTACTATATACAACAATATCAGACTAAAGCACCGGAAGCATACATTAGGAAAAGAATGGGGGTTTGAGTACATGAATTTTATGAATTTCAGCAAAGAATTTAAGGAGGTTATAAATGCCAACGTGCAATGATGCATCGTTAAGGATTTTGTAATGGTTCTGAATACAGAGAAGAGCAGTATATCTAATCCATGGTATCCTTTCACTAAAACCCTCTCTTCTAACTCAACCTACACGTATCTTCTTCCTCACCTCCTATAGATACCTCAAAACTACAATCCCATCTTCCACCCACCAGCTCTCTCTCAAACCCTTCTTCGGTCACCAATCTCTAATCCACTCCCACATCCCCCTCCTCCCCCTCCTCCTTCCCAAGGCCACTCGCACGGTCACCATTTCTTACTTCACATTTGATTCAAAATCCCTCGCTCTCACATTCACCTCCATATCCTCCCTCAAAACTCTCTGCTTCGCAAACTGAATATTTCCTTCAGACCCACAGTACCCGAAAACGGTGTGTCTGAAGTCTGATTGATACTTAGACAAAGTCTCAATCGATAGTTATAGACTTAACTTGACTCAAGACGCTCGCACCAATGTAAAGAGTGCTCTGTCTACATTGGTGAAATGAGGAGCCGACCAGAAGTTGAAGAAGTTAATACTGAAGACAACTGAGGTAGAGACTGAGGATTTACACTGGATTGGTCAAGGAAGATTTGAAGTAGTGAAGAAGAGAGAATGTGTTATCCTGGAGTTTTATAAGGACAGTTGGATTCGAGGGTAATTGAGGTTTTTTGGAAATTTAAAGATTTCAATTTTTAATGAAATAGTGGGGTTTTGGGGTTTTGGGGTTTTGGGG